TTTATGACCCAAATCTACAAGGGTCAAACCCCCAAATCTACAAGGGTCAAAGCATCAAAGGGTTTATGACCCAAATCAACAAGGGTCAAAGCCCCAAAGGGTTTACGACCCAAATCAACAAGGGTCAAAGCCTCAAAGGGTCAACTCCCCAAATCTACAAGGGTCATAAGCCCAAATCAATAAGGGTCAAAGGGTTTATTACCCAAAAACCATCAATACGAGGAATCCGCAGATTGTCCACGGTTCAGCCTCCTGATGAGTCTGTGAAGCTCCGACCAAACAATCTTTCATCATCAACTCTTTTTGTTTTTTTTTTCGCTTTCTAAATTTTGGTGCTTGCGCTCCTTTTGCTTGCTGATCTTTGCCTAGTCCTGGCTTTCCCTTGCTGCCTTGTGCTGTTTGCCCGCCCAGCGCCCGCTCCTCCCCCGTGCCCTCTAGCCTATGTCCCTCGTTCCCCCGACGTGCCTTCATCTTGCGATCCCTGGCTGCCTTGTACTGTTTGCCCGCCCACCCTCCTCCGCCATACTCGTGAACCTGTGTCCTTTTCCGCCATGCAAGGACCACCGGAAGGTCCAAGCGGGAAAAAAAAAAACCGAAAAGACACTATGTTGTGCAGAAAAATGAATTGCACAACTTTTGCCCCAGGGTCACATCACAATTCTTTACCAAATATTTTTTTTATTTTGTCTTTTTTTTTGGCCCGGCCGGGCAAGTGCTCCCCCGGTCACTCTGGTAGCCGAGAACTGATACATTTTATTTATAGCGTCATCTAAGGCCTGGAAAATTCCTGACCATACAAGCCCAAAATGAAGGGAACTCTGGGACCATTACCCAGGGCTAGGTCCCACTTGCACGAATTGAGAGATGCTGACCGTAGATCGCAAAGATCAACGGCCGAAATCTCGTAATTTCCACAAGTGGGACCCAGTTCAATGTATGTGATGGGATTTGTCCAGCGACAGAACGGCCAAAACAAGACCGCTGTACCGACTATTCCACAACCCTACCTTATTACCTTCTTCCCCCGAATACAACGTACGGTCATTATATCTGTATCTGGACTGAAAGGTGCCCCAAATACGGCTATAATGACCGTACGCTGTATTCGGGGGAAGTAGTAAGAAAAGGGGCTTATTCCACAACCCTACTAACAGAAGGGCTAAACCACAAGGCCTAAAATGCCGCACAAACCCAGGATAGAAGAAAAAAAAAATTAAGCCGGAAGGCCTCAAAGCCGCACAAAACCACAAAATAAAACAACGACAACAATGCAATGATTTGCAATCTACTAACAAAACCTTTCGTTTCATCACAAAATGACCTAACAGAACCAAAATAACGAGATAAATTATCTTTTATCTCACCCCCCCCCCCCCCCCCCCCCCGTCCTGAAAAGCAGCAGTTACCGAGGGGAAAAAAAAAACAAAAAAAAAAAAAAACAGCAGCAATCACGTAATCCCGAGACATTTTAAGCGCCTCGCTGTACCGCTCTCCAAAGTGCAAGATAAGAAAGAATCTTCCGCTAGCACATGCAAAGAATCCGAAAGAGAGAAATCGCCATCACGTTCTTTTTTGTTTTTTTTTTTACACTGGAAATCACCGATGTAATGTGATTTGCGAATACAGTACCCGAGTTTCGTTTTTTTTTTCTTTTCTTTTAATATACACTGGAAATCACCGATGTAATGTGATTCGCAAATACAGTACCGGAGATTTCCGTGGAACAATATAGTTGTACTTGCATCAAACAACGGGTGCGAGCGGTCCTATAGTGCGAAAACGGGGTCAGATACATACGAGGCGGCAAACAGGGAATGACGGCCGGATAGTTCTTCTGCGTGATTACGGAGTTAAAGCCATCACTTTTGCCTTCTGTGTAGTTGGAGAACGGCGCGACGAAACCCTAAGCCATGGCCTATTTAAAAAAAAAAAAAAAAAAAAAGAATAATAACCCTAAGCCTGCCTCCCTCCGCATTTCAAAACCGTTCCGCAAGCCCTCAAACGAGGTGCCTCGCTGACGTCAACAAGAACACCTTGATCGATAGAGAGGCGATCATTGTGCTGACGTCAACAAGCAGCCCAGACGATCCCCAAATCTTCTCCTCTTATTTTTTTTTTTTTTCTCTTTCCACCTTTCAAAATTGAAAAAAAAAAAAAAAAGGTCTGTCGCTGACATCAACAGAAAGCCAACCCTCGATCGACGGAGGCGTGAT